CATCACAACACAATGCGCACAGCGCGTCTGCGAGATTTTCATGCACCTGAATATAATATCAAATTGTAAGTGTATTTTTCTCTACTACATAATTTGAGCAGTTCCATCCAGTACTTGTGCTTTTTTGGGGTTGTAATGTCAAGAAACAATTCTTCCTTTGAATGGTACCATTTATTTCCCGACGCATCAATCTCTCGTATGTCTATATGCACCTTTGTAAACTCTTCTCGCAAGTTCCAACACCGAGCTCATTTTGTACAATCATTAGCATCCAACTCGCCCTGAACTACTGACAAAATACAAATAGGTCATGATAATCAAGAAACTATCCCTCGGCATTGCATCCGGCCCTAGAGTGCTTTCCAGAAGCCCTTTCACTGTTGAAGTGATCCTTGACATGTGGCAGGGCTCTCAACACTCGGGTACATGCACGAGCCATGCATGCCTTAAATTTCCAGCTCTTATCTTTGAACATAATGCTGCTAGAAGTAAAGCTTTCAAGCAATTGGAAACACCACACCATGTTGCAGTGAAACAGTTTAAACTTGATAAATGAATTTGAAAGACTTTCAGATAGCTCACGAACATTGCCATGTACGTATTGTTCCTTATGGGCTGGTGAGCTAATAAAAGAAAAGAGAACTGAAGCGTTAGATTTCTCATCTATGAGTTACCTAACTTTTATGATTGTATTTTGGCTAATCATTCGCAGTACCTTCTATTCGAGAACTTCCGAGTACTTTGGCACTTTCGCGACATATCATCTCTTGAAAGATATTTCTAATGGGACACACAGGCCAGCATGCAGCACCTCCACAGGTTCACTCCATTTCTGTTGGATTAATTAGCTGCGCAAAAGTTTTTTTTCCTGTTTTTTGCGATCATTCGATTGCTTGTTCCGCAACGTTGTGGTGCAGAGCGTTGCTCTTCGGAAATTCTACTCTGTATCCGTGATTTTTACAAAAATCATTTACCGAACAAGCTAGCTCACTGATTAGGATTTTGGTTTAGAATCGCTTATCACAACTTGAATTGGTTTAATGATTGAGAATTATCAAATGGGATTTGCGTATTTGAAAAACACTGATATAGGGAAATATAAGTTGAAGATTACTAGTAAATGTTACAACAGCATTTTTGCACGATAGACTATTAATTCATGTAGTAAATAGCATTACATATGTGAATGGTACAAATATAGCGACAGAGAAAAATCTACAACTCTGTCATTATCGCAGCTTCTGCTTTTTCAGACATCAAAAAATTAATGTCCATTGTGAAAAGACTAATAAGATAAGTTCACAAAGCCCCTTTCCAGTTCAATTTCTTCAATTTCTCGTAAACGATTCAAGAGGATCTAAAAACGTTATGAACCGATTTGCGCGAAAACTTGAATAGTCATAACCCATAGTTGTTCTAAAAGCATTGGTGTTAATGATTAATTTCATGGTGTCACAAAATTACTACATTTTCAATAATTGGCAGAAATGTTCGGTTACTAGGCAACTTGAGAGTCTCAGAGCATTCTTATATTATTGGACATAAGACGGACTACTCCACCGCTCTAGAGATATGCATGACTTCTATGATTTCGTTTGAACATCTGTCTTCCTAAGATCTTTGTGACGAGCACCCTGTCGCCAAATTCAAGTGTTTTGCAGCTCATGTTGAGCTTTTTCAGTGTTATAACCATTCTATACCGTTTCGAGCATTAAACACTGATTGGACTGAAAAAACAATCAATTATCAATTATATTACAGGTCAATGATCTAACAAGAGAGAGAAACTTGTTGTGGTTAATTACTTTGGAGAATAGCTTCCACGAGCCTCACTTATCGTGTATGCTATGTTGACAAGTTATGGAACGGTTGAAAATATACACCGGAAGAGAATCCATGTGCCAAGATAAACAGATCAAAAGAAAATAAGTCATATATGACGTGCTCAGCCTTTATACTCGTTTACGCGTTACTCATTCATCATTGATCTGTCGCAAGCCTGGTAACAACTTTGGCGAAGTACGGCGAGGCGATCTTGACAAAAATCTTATTTAATAGGTTTCATTTGAATTTTAGTTGCTTACATATACGCCTGTAGCTAATTACAAGTGTAGACAACGAATACGTCATTTATATATATATATATATATATATATATATATATGTATACTTCATTTTAAAAGTATATTATATATATATATATATACAATATACTTTTTGAACACTATTGATCCGTCTTCAACCGTCATCGTTCGTGTTGCTTTTTATCATTTTACGGATCCCAGTACTTCTAACATTTATTTCGTTTTCTCATCTTCTTCTTGAACGTATAAAACACTGATAGAGCGAGTCTCTTTGCAATATCGAGAATAGTCTGGCGTTCCATAGGAGGTTGTTGTTGATTGCTGAAGAGAGTTGGAGGTGCGACTCGGCTCCACGCGCGCCACGACGAGCATCACAACCACTCAGCCACGACGCCCCGTATCCAATATATATATATATATATATATATATATATTATATATATATATATATATATATATATGTGCATATATACCCGTACATCGGAACAACCAAGGACAGTAGCGATCTCTATTAGTTTTTTGGTTATGCTGTTGTCGCCTTTTACGCTTACCACTCTGGAGCGTCCCTTCAGCGCTGATATAAATTTTGCGTCTATTTATGTATTTTACACAAGTTAAAAAATGTATTGAGTATTGCTGACTGTAGTACCGGTGTCAAAGCTCTAATGCACAAAATTGTACTAATTTTTCTTCCTCGAATTTGAATTGTTAATCATTTTACTACTTAGGAGGGCCTCGTTAGCTCAATATTTTAAAATATCGCTTTCCTTTTTTGCTTTCGTTTGACTTTCCCCTTTTTTGATGAAGAATTGTTCTCCATAGGACACTATATATTGTTAAAGACGACCGAGTTTATAAAAACTTGCGTATAGTTTTAATTATAAGAGAAATGCTTGTACCACTTCTAATAGATTAGTTTCGTGCTTTCACAAGCATACTCACTAACGAGAAGATGCGAACAACGTCTAGTCACGTCGTGATAATGCGTGTGAATGAGATATGAGTTCTATGAGTTCAATCTTCGCAAAATTTGCTATCGTTATCTCACTTACATCCAATTTCTTCAAACGCGGGGTTGAAGTTAGTCAGAATTTGATGTCCAGGGTGAAGAAAAGTATTGTTCGTTTCACTATGGAATCCGTCGAGTCCACCCGCTCCGTGTAACACTGAGTTCATTTACTGCATTTTCTAATGATAAGAACTAAATACTTCGGAGGATATGTGGACTCCCCCTTATTATTGAGTCACTGATGAAGTCATTAGAATTAACTAGATATGAGCTAGAAGATTATAGTGCTGATCGGAAATCAGAACTGTTTTCAGTAAGAGACGCCATACACTGCAATAACACTGTTTTGTTTCTCAAAACATTAATTATTTCTGCTATCTTTGCTGAGGCAAACGTTTGCCTTACTGTTCATGGTAAGGTAAGGTAACATATTCTATTTAATTGTAGTCCAACCTGGCTCGTTATAATTTGTACATGAATCATTTACATATTCGACTGATTTTGATCGATGTCTAATTTACTGACACATCAATGATGTTCATGTTCCCATGTAATTCGCTTGAATGTTCAACAGATGTGATTTGATATGATTTACTGGCATGACAAAGTTCGAATGCTTAGCTCCCACAGTTCCATTAACAGCTCTTTATAAGCCGGATTGCGTTTGGGTAGAAAAATCACAGTTAAATTTGCAACTGATTTCTTCTTCTTGATGGAGAATGAATTTACTTCAAATAATGGCATTCGTAGTCTTTTCTATTCGATCGGACAATGAACATCACAGAAATGTGTGAACGAACCGTTCAGATGCATAACCACTTAGAAAGCCTTAAGTCTTTTTTCATTCTTGTTAGCACATGATATATTTAGAGAGCTGTAATAACACAGTGGTTAGAGGTGCCTTGCAATATACACGATGTTGTAAGTTGGATCCCAGCGCAACGAGCTCACTGAGCCCTTCATCCCTCCGGGATCGGCAGAGTGATACCACAGATATTTCAGAGAATAAATACAAAGTTGGATTGCCGGTAATCGACCGATAGTCGCTACATTGATCAGATATATATTCAATCGTCTGCAATGATGCTTGAGCTTGAATGCGTGATCAATCTTTCAAGGGTTAACCAACACCAAATATGTCATCTTCATCACTACTATGTTTCTAATGGCCCAATTCACATAGCTGCTACGAGGCTTCATCATTCGAAGCCACACGAAAGAAAAGAACGGCCACTTCAAACTCAGAATCAAGATATCTGGTTCCTGCTTCAACAATTGAGCAAGAAATCATTGAAATATTTAGATTTGTGCCTGCAAGATACGGATTTCCATTATTTTGCCAAGCTGAAATTCTGAGTTTCTGGAATTTCATGAAGTGGCTTTTCCACTTTTATGCTGTAAAGAAAGTTTCGCATTTCGAACATAGAGGGAGTTTAGCAAGTGCGAATACATAAAACAACATTTAGTGGTGTTCCCCAATGTATCGTTTACAGCCGCCGTACTTGCCTAAACGTTTCAAAAAGTCGAAGTTGTTTAATGCTCGTCTGAGGATTTGAATCCAGCAATTTTCAGAGTTGAAATTATGTTTTATAGAAGTTTGAATACCCTTAAAACAATGAAACAAAGACTTTTTAAGAAGTAATGAACTCTATCAGTACTCTAGCAAAAGAGAAATCAATGCCTATCGTTGAAGAACCAGCGTCAGACGATATATGTAAAGTCAATCGATAGCTCTCACCTGCAAAGCTGATTTGCGTAGATCAATGTGTGTTTCAAGGTTTCTTTGTATTTCTAGAGTTCAACGAACATTGACGCAATTGATATTCGTTTTTATTTAACCGCTTATGGCGATGGTATGATGTTTCAAATATATACTCATTGATGCAGAGCAATGTGCAAAACTTTTGCGTCAGGCGGGACTAGAACCCGCACCTCACTCTTTCCGGGGATGCGTGCTCTGTCCTTTACACTACTGCTGACAGATATTGGGTATTAAAGATCAAGTGATATTCGTTTACATTTAACCGCTTATGGTGGTGGTATGAGCGGCTAATAAAAACGAACCGCTTATGGTGGTGGTATGAGCGGTGTGTAAATAAAAACGAATATCATTTGATCTTTAATACCCAATGTCTGTCAGCGTGACAGGTTCAATGTGGAGACCGACTACCCGAGCCACGCCATTGACGGCTGGCGGCTGGCAGATGGTACGCTTTAGCGTAGAAAGAGCGATGTGCAAAATGGGCGTCAGTAGTGTAACGGATAGAGCACGCATTCCCGCAAAGAGTCAGGTGCAGGTCCTAGGCCCGCCTGACGCAAAAGTTTTGCACATTACTCTGCATCAATGGGTATTTACGCATTTCTTTTTTTTTCCAAATTGCACTACATCTTTACTGTAAAATTGACTCCCCGTTGCTTGCTACCATTATGATTTTTTCACTACTTAACAATGAGAATGTATCAGGTGTTTGTGTATGGGTGCTGGAATAAAGCACAGTAGTTTCCCATTGTTTAACATAAGACTCGATCGTTGCACTATCAGTTTCATTCTGTCTTACGGTTACCCGGCAATCGGATTCCCCGTATTCGTCATAATTCAAGCTATACAACGAATATACTTAGCATGTTAAATAGCGTGAAAAAACGTATGATCTCGAGCACGAGATCGGGACCGCAGCGCCATCTGGTTGGAACTGGTACGCTACTCTAGGAGTGCTAACTCTTTCATAACTGGAAGGCCCTCTGAGATTTTCATTATATCAGGCATAATGCCGGTTTATGTATTGTAGAGATTACGTTTGATATTAGAATAGCTTCTCTAACAAATGTGATTATATTGTATATCACATTGATGCGCGTTTTTTTCGCTCTATCTTATGTCTCTAATGACGATATACTTGTTGTTTATTTCATATTTATTTTAGACTTGAAAGCATGTTGGTTGTTGCAAAAGTACCTGCGGTATGAAATGTTCAGTTTGATATGGATGGTAAGTAGCACAGACAATTCGCAACATCAACAACATATCTGGCTCTGGAACCCTTAGATAGCGCGTAATACAAGTGTAGTTCGCGAAGTTTTGTAAAGAGAAGGAAAGCCTTGAAGAAGAGGAACGTAATGGCCGGCTATGGGAAGTTGACAACGACCAATTGAGAGCAACTGATCCTCTTAAGACTACACGTGCTATTGCAGAATAACTTAACGCCAACCAATCTACGGTCGTTCGCCGTTTGAAACGAATTGGAAAAGTGAAAATGCTCGATAAGTGGGTACTTTATGAACGCACCGAAAACCAAAAAACCGGCAACTGAAATGTCGTCTTCTCTTATTCCACGCAACAACTGGGGGCCATTTCTCGATGGGATTGTGACGTACGACAAAAAGTGGATATTATACGAGAACTGGTGACGATCAGCTCAGTAACTGGAAAGAGAAAAGCTCTAAAGCTCTTTCCTAAGCCCAAGTTGCACCCGAAAAGTTTATGGTCATCATGTGGTGATCTGTCTCCGGCCTGATCCATTGCAGCTTTCTAAATGCCGGCCAAACCATTACATCTGAAAATTATGTTCGGTAAATCGATAAGATGGTCCGATAACTGTTACGCCTGCATCCACCAATAGTCAAGAAAACAGCCCAGTCATTCTCCACGGCAAGATGCTGCCACACGTCAGCTTCAGAAGTCAAATTGAGTCATGAAGTTTAGGCCCAACTTCCATATTCGCTGGATCTCACGCTTATCGTCTAACAATTTTTCATGCATCTTGATAACTTCTTAGAGATAATGACGCCTTCACAATCAACAGAATGCAGAAAAAGCTTTCCATGACTTCTTAAATCCCGAGACACCGATCCTTATGCTACAGGAATATGCAAACTTATTTCTCGTTGGCAAAATTGTCTTGAATATAATGACTTTCATTCTTATTGATAAGGAAGTTTCCGAGCCCAGTTATCATGACCTGAAGCCCACGGTCTGAAACCGCCACTATTTTTGCATCGACCTAATAAATATCACTAGTTCCTCGTATCGGTCAATGGGAATCGAATTATGTGAAGATCTACGTAACACCTCAAAGAGTATTGAAGTGACTTTGATTCTAAACCCCGTTTTAACGAAATTGTTCCGCTCTCGTTAAACATGATAATTTCATTTTAGGGTTTTCCTGGAGAACTCTGAGCATTGAGTTGGTGGTCGTCCTGTTTTGCGTTTGACATCACCAAGAATCCATTCTATAACTGCTCTCGTTCATCGGTTGCCGTCAAATCATACGTGTCCAACTTCCCTTATCTTCGATAACATGACGTGTTGAACGGCATCTCTGATATTCAATCGGTAACGTAGCTCAGAACCTTGGATTCTTTCTCATTTGCAAGATACGGGATGCCCCTAGCAGCGACCTTTTGACTGTGTGTTCAACAACGCCAGAGTTTTTCATCCGCTACGTAGTGATCAGGTTTCTTTTACAAATGTTAAGGCAGGAATGATTGTTGAGAGAATAAGGTGGGGACTGGATCAGGTGTCCTTATTCTTTACTATTATCCTAAATTCTTGCAGGCTGTTTTAATGCCGTTCCCTCCTGCTCAACTTAGGGGCTAAGTCTTTTCGTCATATTAACTTTGCGATATGGATAAACGTAAGTGGAACCGTCAAAAATATCCATTTCGTTGGATGTAAATAGAGCACTCGAACTAACTTGTTCCTCATAAACATTGTTCTTGTGAGATTTTGGTGGCCAACTTCCTCAAGCGCTGTACAAATCGTCCAACACTCGTTCCGCTTTGCTTGGTTCTATAAGAACGATCTCAACAGCAAGCGAGGATGGTTCGATTGTCAGCCATCGATTTTCACTCTCATGTTGTCCCATTCTAACAGGATTAGAAGGGGAAAATGGTATTGGATGCAAACTATTAACTAGTTTTTGGCTATTATATTGACGAAGTTGTTAACGATGTGTTGATGTAAACATGTGTTCACCTCGAGTTTGTTATGACAGATTTTCTCTACACAAGAGATCCGACACCGATTTCCCGCAAAATAATGTCAGCTCTTCAAAAACTAGAATACTTGAGAAATTGAAAACATATTCAAGTCCGAAAAAATTTTGCCTCGTTTACTTAACAAGGGAAATATTTTCTTCAGAAACGCTTTGAATCGAAATTTCCAGCCAAATGAAAACGAAATCGAAATATGCAGGATGGCAAGTAAAATCGCAATAGCCCTAGCATCAACGGTTCATATGAGTACATCACCATGTTCCAATCTTCAAAATATCCCTTGTTCAAATGCTTCATTAACGAAAAACGAGTTTGGGCAAAAAAAGTTATGTGATACTCCAGGTATATGAATCTTTGCCGTGGTGAACTAGAAAAGTCTTCATTCTGCAAATAAAGGTTTACAAGTTCTAGTACTCTTTAGTGAGAGATCGTGGCAGAGTGGTTGTGATGCTTGTTGCGACGCGGCGTGCGGCTGATTTGCACCCCCGCACTCTTCGGCGGTCAACGGCGAGCGTTTAATGAAACTCCACAGCTAGGCTATCTTCGAGATTGTAAGGAGACATGCTCGACCAGTTTTTTACATCGTTCAAAAAGTAGAAGGAAAACGAGTCGAGTGCTAGAACTACTGGAATTCACACACTAAAATGTATTAACCGGTTGTGCAAATCACTGAGAAATAAAAGGATAAAGCTCTCAGCGTTGACCGATCCCAGAGGGATGCAGCATGCATTTGTCTTCAGTTTTTAGAACTTCGTTTGAAGTGACTGAAAACATATTTGGCCTTTACAATGGCTCGCGCTGGCCCCCCGCTGTATCGAGTCAGTCTGAGACCAGTCTGGTACTAATTTCCCGACTCCGAAGGGATGGATGGCTTGGTGAGCAACAGTCGTGAGACTGAACCATCGACCTTGTGAGCGGCGCAGAACACCTCTAACCACTGCTCCATATGCGCATCATCAATAAAAAATAGTATTATTCATTGCAATCGATTGATTTGATGATTAACTGGTTATATCAAACAATGGATAAAATTCTGTATGACAATGCAGTTTTAAATTGAGAACAGCAGTTATTTTATTATTATGTGGGGCGCATTAAATCATATCACTCAGCAAGTGTTGAAAGATCAACTTTTATTCTCAATTTATAGTGTGCATGACTCCACAAGGAAATTTTTTTCTTACCCAAAAAAGTGTTTTATTGAGCAGTTATTTATTGCCGTTTCAGCTGAAGCTGCGCAATTACATGCTCACTTGTGTTCACTTTCCGGACAGAGAGACGAAAGAAGAACAGCTTCCGAAGGTTCGACGAATGATTCGTTTGATAGCTGGTGCTCGTTTGTCGAGTGTTTTTTTACGGATGAGAAGATATTCACGGTCAAACCACTTCACAATCCCCAGAGTCGACGTTCACTTCTCAAGAGAGGTCAGCAGAAGTCCGCAGTAGCAAAAACCATGAGAATCACTCATTTTCAGGCTTTTGTGATGATGTGACCCGGCATTTCCGCCACCGGAGAGACAGCATTGGTCTTAATCAGCGAAGACGTCAAAATTAGCGCTGCCAGCTATAGGCGACAAGTTTCACGGGCGTACTGAAGCCTTGGGGTACTCAACACCTTCGCACCGACGGATCTGCGCTTCAGCAAAACTGAGCTCCTGCGCATTCAACCTGTTCAACGATTGCCATTTGTTAAGAGCTGTTTTTAGACACGTTTTGTGCATGGACATCTAGCCGTTAAAGTAGCCGGATCTCAACCCATGGATTACTCTATTGTTCATACTGGGGGACAAGATCCCGGCTACTTGCTACACTACCGTAAACGCGTTTAGAATGGCTTTACACGCGCATAGGCCAAAATTACGGTGGAAACGTGTGCGAGCATCGTTGAAAATTTTCGCAGGTGACTTCACACATGTATAGAGTCAAAGGAGGCAGTTTGAGAATTTCTATGTTAAATATATGAGTGATGGTCATATTGCAACCTG